CTAGCCTTATCATGAACCAATGGAGACTAATTAGGTTTAAGTCCCTCATAGAATAAATGAGACAGTCCTGAATCAACCATGAGACAAAGGCTATCTCTCAATTCCAATGGTCAGTGCCAAGGCAAGCTTTCAATTCCAATAGTCACTATCAATACCATATGGATTTAATCAACTACTCCTCTTCCTAGGCGAACTCTTGCCAATAATCATGTTATGCATGTATATAACATATGTATATGCATTTTAATCAACCATTCATATCATGAATCCATATATCTATACTCATACCTAACTCGTTCTACATACTAACTAGTACATAATCACAATTTTTCATTCATCATCACTATTAGCATGTATATGAACATACATATAATTTGTAACAATAATACATCACCAACCATAAAAAATTTGTATCATGAGTTTAAAAATATTAAACATGTTTCAAATCAACCATTTCAACAAATGAACAATTAATATTCAACTATATAAACTAGGTTTCCCCTAGTTACTTGAAACCTTTGAGAGTTTAAAGGTTTACCCCTCAATAAAATTCTTCACAAGCTATATCAAAGCTTGAATGGTGCACAACATGATTGATTTACAATTAATTATACCAATCATCACTAAAATCATCATAAAAACTCTTCCAACTTCAATTAATCAACACTTTAATTAACTAAAATTCTAATATCTTGTACTTAAGCATAACCATTAGGTTGATTAACTCCTATTAACTCCATTTAGCTTCCATTAAATTAAATAATCACTAACATAACACCCAACAATCTAAAATCACACTTTGGAGGTCTAGGGTTCATCCAAAATGGATGACCCAAGCTTACAACATTGTAAAAACTTCTAAACTACATGTAAAATACTTAAACGACTTCCATTAATCCCATTTAGACTAATGAGTTTTGACCCATAGCATTAAATCCAAAAATCTTTAACTCTCAACCTTAGATATCACTTCTAAAACGTGTAAAGGGAAGAAGAAGTGATAAAGAAGGCATATTAAAGTGAAACCAAACTTCAAACACCTTTAAAATGCCCAAGAGTTGATGCCCTGATAAAAAAAAACTCTCTTGGTCGTTCCCTCTTTGTTTCAAGTCTCACTTTTTGTTTTTTGAATTGATTTTGTGTTTTAAAAAAAATTGATTCGGGAAATTATGTTGTGGCATAAATTTTTATGTTGTGGCATAATGCACAGTGGGTTAAAAATTTAATTTTTCTTTATAATTTGAGCCCGAGTAACCCAATTCACTTTCATACCTAATCTAAAAGCTAAAGCTAAACCCAATAGCTGACTCTAACTATCCTCAAATCTAGTTATACTTAAATTTTCATAATCACCCTTTATTAGATTAATAAATCATGGAAATTTTTTTTTTGAGATGTTACACTGCTCACCTTCCTCTCTATTAGGTTCTCTCCATCATTTCTTAGCTTCTCTTTTATAGGATCCATCTCCATCATTGCTCAACTCCTTATCTACCATTTTCCAAGTTATTCACCACCACCACAAATTGTGAAACTCATTTGGATAGAGAAGTTGTTGTCGACATTACTCATCTCTCATATTTGTTGTCGACAACATTTATTTTTTGCTAAAGATCTATTCCTAACTTATTATTTATATCTTCTACCATCCTCCATCTACAACCTTCTCCAATGCTAAAAGTGGTCTAAAATTTATTGTAATGGCTATTCTAATATTGAGATTTTTTTATGTGGGTTTCTTTTCTACTCCTCTTCCCTCCATTTGTGTTATCATAATTTGTTAAATTATTTTATTGTAATAGTTTCTTATGCTACTTGTTGCGTGAATGGGTGTTGGACTTTACTACTCAAGATCTGCTCCCTTTTTTCTTTTTGCTTCAAAGAATTTGATTTATTAATCTCCAAATCTATGGTTCTATCAAAGGAATAAGATGATCAAAATTGAGAGTTTTTTTCTTTGGTTTAAGGTGCATTTTATACTTATTATAATTCTAGTTAAATATAAAAAAAATATGTTCCCCACCTTATCAAGAACCAACCAAACATGTCAATGGTAATCAACATTGCATTACTAAGAGGATTTGCATTCGAACCAAATAGCTTGTTAGTATCTCATATTGTCAAGTCTCCTTCAATTAGCCTCCCATAGAAAGTTGATACCATAATGGCTACACACCAAATCACTTAATTCAACTTCTTGCTGGCTAGAACCCTCTATGGGTAACTCTCTCCAAAATCGCTAGCAATTATGCAATGGGTTGGCGAATACAGCTATGAGATAACACATGCAACAGAGGCATCTTATATCTTGATGCATCAAAATGCTAGTATACTAAAAGGTGTCTTGGACATTCTTTGAAAAAAAAAAGTGCCTTGGACACCTCTTGGCCCCTTAGATGTCATTTTAAGGATGATAATATTCTAACTAATTCCTTTATGTCTCTTGATCTCCTTCTTAGTTTGGGCAAAAATATAGATTGTTTATTTGACAATAGTATTACTTGAACAAGTTTAATGTGCTGGCAACATAGTTGTGCTTTTTGGCATGACTAATTTTGTATTCTCTTTTTTAAGTAGACTTTGCTCTTTGCTGAATTATTTATATGGTTTGTTGGATTTTATGTGTTTGTTGCCATCTTTTAGAGTGTAACTTTTCATGAGACATCTCTTTTATGTTTTGTGGAGTTTATTTCCTTAATTATTGCAAATTTACACAAAGTAATGGCAATATTATGATTTTGGTCCAATAGTAGTGCCTCCACTCATTTGTCTTCCTAGAACAACCAATGCATATTATAAATAGATCATGGCATTGTCCATGAAGGTATTGCATATGTTAAGATAATACATAGTACTGCAATCACTTTACATTTTTGTCAATCGTCCTCTTTGAAGTTCCTTTCTATTTATGGTATAAATGGGCCATTTTAGGAGGACTAATAATGCAATCATTAGGGAATTGGACCGTAGTGTCTCACATATTAAATACTTCATATCTTCTTCAAATTCTTTTTTTTAATAGAGTATGAAATTATTAGAACATTCATGTATTTTCTTAAATAACATGCCTAATAGACATAATATTTTATTCGCATCATAATAATGATACCTTGATATATTTTGATCTTGAAGCATGCCTTTCACTAGCTTAAGCAATTATATAAAACTCTCATCACTCCATCCATGTCTTGCCTTCAAACTCTTCACATCACTGCACATATTGCTGTGTGCATATGATTGCTCAAAAGTCTCTTTTCCAATATTATGAATTTTGTCCTCCAACTGATCCTCTATCTTATCATGATCATCAACCTTCCACTATTGCAGTATACTTGACCTCGACCTTTCCCATTGCTTCATCATGCCATGTCCATACTATATAACTTTTGCAAAACCCCTCACAAGTTAGGTGCATGTATATTTTTGTAGTACTTAGTCTTCTCTCATTCAAACATTCTACACAAGGACAATAAAACTTTCACTATCATCAATGGTATTCTTTTTAACAAAGTGTAAAAACACATTCACCCCATTATCTTACTCATCATTTGTTTGTTTAGCATTTATCCAATTACAATCCATAGTTCACTTCCTAAAATGAAATTAAGTTAAAGGATTATTGCTAATTTTCAATTGAAATTGGACATTTCCAATGCTTTAGAAAGTTAACTTTTTTCTAATAATCAAAGTTAACTTTTTAGCAATAAAGTGCTAAGCTAAAATAACGAACCTAAAAAATAACCTTAAATAAAAAAATTAATCTTGATTAATTTTCTTACCACCATTTTTATCAATCAAAGTTAAACTAACCATTATTTTCATACCTTTATAAGAAAATTAATATCGATTAAGTCTCTAAAATAGTAGTTATTCAAATCATATTTTGACTCTTTACATGGATAAGAAAAACATTTATATCCTATTATTTTAATTGATATTAATTTTTTATGAGGTAGCATAATTTTATGGGATGTTTTTTTTATAATTTTTTAGATTTTTTTTATAATTTTTAAGTCAACTAAGTCAAAGTTAACTTTTTTTAAGTGCTCAATGAATTATTTTTTAAATAATAAAAAGAGAAATTATATGGTTTGAAAGTTTTGGATGAGGAAAAGTGACAATTAAAGACTTTATAAGAATATTAATCTCAATTAAGGACCATAATATTTTAAAATCTCAGTTAAGGATTATGGTTTTTAATTGAAATAAAAAATATAGTTTGTAAGGTGAGATTAACTAATGTCATTTGGTAATTTAACCCAACTTTAAAAAATTATTAACGTATATTGTGAAAACATTAAACCCAACTTGAAAATCAATTGTTTAACAAAAAATATTACTTGAGAATTCACTAACTCCATTTAAAAAAATTTCTAATATATATTGTGAAAATATAAAACTTTACTTGAGAATTGATTGTTTAACAAAAAAACATCACTTGAAAATTCACTAATCAGATTTGAAAAAATTTATAACATATATTGTAAAAAAATAAAACTCCACTTGGGAATCAATTATCTAACAAAAAGTGACTTGTTCAAACTGATATTTTTTTGTTAAATAATTAACTTTTAAGTGGAGTTTTATATTTTCATAATATACATTAAAATTTTTTTTAAGTCGAGTTAATGAATTTTTAAGTTATACTTTTTGTTAAATAATTAATTTTTAAGTGGAGTTTCATATTTTTATAATGTACATTAGCAATTTTCTCAAGTTGAATTAGTGAATCTTCAAGTAGTATTAGTGAATTTTACCTTATAAATTATATTTTTTATCCCAAATAAGAATTAAGATTCTTAATTAAAATTTAATTTAAATGTTCTTAAAGAGTGCTTAATTGTCATTTTTCCTTAGGGTAATCCATACCACCAGCAAATAATTAAGAGTGTCTTTTGACCCGATCAACAATAGACTGGGTTGCCGATTGGTTGGCGGGATTTACTTCGAATGAGTTGGGATTTTTGGGTTGTGTGGAGTCCCCACAACCACCTCCGCTACCTTCTATTTTACTGTGAGATGCCTGTTTTCCCTCCAGATCTGTTGATCAAACTGTGATTAGTCCAGATAGAGTTGGTATTGGTTAAGGGCATTACGGGGTGCTTGTATTTTAGTTTGCTTTTTGCTTAGGTTTATTGCTTGGGTTTGTGTTAGTACTTTTAATTGTTGCTTTTCCTTCTGAGCTACTATTGTGAGGCTTTGTGTCCTTTTCGTTGAATGAATGAATTTCTTTGGCCTAAAAAAAAAAAAAAAGACCGTTTAATTCCCTAAAAAGGAGTGAAGGACACGTCAGACTGGCAGCGGCACGAGAAGGTCGAGCTCGAGCACTTTTCCATACTCTGCTGTGCCAATGCTACTGCCTACTACTTTATATCACACTCACAGTGGAAGCTTATCTCAATTCTCAGAAATGGCGAAAGTGGGTAGGATCAAGCTGGGTTCACAAGGCTTGGAGGTATCAACCCAGGGACTTGGTTGCATGAGCATGTCTTCTGCCTATGGCACTTCTAAACCTGAACCCGACATGATCGCTCTCATCCACCACGCCATCCAGAGCGGCATCACATTTCTCGACACCTCCGACATCTACGGGCCACACACGAATGAAATTCTTCTCGGAATGGTATTGGTCGCTTCCAAGTCCTTTTGCTGTTTGTTTCTTCTTCGCGTTTGTTCACTCTTTGGGTTTATGACGAATTGGGTGTGAATTTTCCTGTCAGGCTCTGAAGGGAGGTGTGAGGGAGAAGGTTGAATTGGCCTCTAAATTCGGAGTCAGCTTTGCCGATGGCAAGGTAGATATCCGTGGCGATCCTGCGTACGTGAGATCGGCTTGTGAGGCTAGCTTGAAGAGACTGGAGATCGATTGCATTGATCTCTATTACCAGCATCGTGTTGATACTCGTGTGCCTATTGAAGTCACGGTCCGTCTTCTATCTGCTCTGGTTGATCTTTTCTCTGGGTAGATTACAGTTTATCTATGTGGTTCGTGTTTGATGTGAAATCAATTTCACCTTGTATTTTCACTAAAATTGGGCCACAAGATAGATAGGCCGTTGAATAATGTACCTTTCATACATCCTGAATATAAATTTTAACCAAAATAATCATGCAAGTCGCTGGTATATGTCTTTTTCACTTACAATTTGAATTTTATCTTGTTCCAACGGAGTTAACATAATCCTAGTAATAGTCACAAAAGACCATGAAAAGGTTTACACACACACTGACAATAAATTATCAGTGTAACTTTCATATTTACATTGGGTCAGGTGTAACAAAATGAACCAAGAGTGCTGGAATGAGATCTCTTAAACCGGGGAGGCATACAGGTTTGGACCAAAAATGCAAGGGTTAATTTGCCTGTAGAAAATGCTACGCAATATAATATGCAGAAAACCTAAAATCCTCGATATAGTTAGCACTGTGTGGGATTGCAGAAGATTGAGAACAATTGTTCTTGGTTCTGGCTCCTCAAGTATTTATTATTTATACGGACTCTTATAGAATGCTAGAGCCTGGCGATTCTGATATGTTTTCTTGTAAGATTTCCCCCCTCTTGAACTGAAAAACTATGGAGCATTATTTTAATAATATGAGATGATTTTCTCGCAAAAACTTTATCAGGATTCAGGAACACTTTTAACATTTTGTAGCCTCAGATTTTCACTCATACTTTTGGATCTTTTAAATATCATAGGTCTTGAACCAATATTCTAGGCATTCCTTGTGCTCATGGCTAAAATTTTTTCTTCACCTGGCCTGATTTCTGAAGGCCAAGTGGATTATTTGGTACTAAAAGTTTCTTGTTTGGAAGAATTTAAGATAAGTTTCTGAAGCAATTTCTTTTCCCTGCGAGTTATAAAATGTATGCTACATGATCATATGGTGGCATCTTTAGGCTTTATAAAAATGAAACATTGTACTCAAGTTTCTGTAAATTGTCATTTTGGCTATGCTAGATGGACTAAAAAGCTAAGGAACATTTTTCTTTCCATAATGACTTGTGAAATCAAGAAATCCTTTCTTCTTCCTACCATCCATTTGTATGTTTTCTGTGTCCAAGAATTGACCAGTTGTTATAAATTTGTAGTTAGGATATAATTGGTTAGTTAGTTAGTTAATATAGCCGTTGGGAAGAGTGTTGGGAAGGGACGTCTATATATAGGCTGAAATTGTAGTTTGATGTTTTATGAAAGAAGACGTATTATTCAATGACACCACTACTTCTCAATTTCTCTCAACTTCTTCTCTTTAATCTCTCATTCTTATCTGCTCTCTCTACCTTCCTGTTCTTCTCTCATCCTTTTCCGCTCTCTCTCTCAATTTTCTATCATTCCAAATTATTCCTACCTATCAATGGTATCAGAGCAGACGCTCTTCAGCTCCCCTTTTATATCTCCAATCACGGTTCATGGTCAAGACGCGCAGCAGACACCATCAAAGCCGACAAGAAATGGAAGATTTCATGGTCAAGATCGAAGAAAACAATAGAAAGATTCATGCTTTGACAGAATTGGTTGATGGGCTTTCCCAACAACTTCAATCCTTGGTAAGGGACCGAGAGGCTGAAAGAGAAGGCCACTATTGAAATGCACAGATTGTTGAATGTCATCACGAGCATGAGGATTATAGATGCAGAGATGGGTATGAATGAAGAGAATATAGGAGGCCCACTCAGTTCACGAAGATGGAATGCCCAAAGTTTACTAGGGAAGATGTTCTCGGCTGGATTATGAAATGCGAGCGATATTTTGAGCTTGATGAGACGCCAGAAGAAACCAAGATCAAGATAGCAAGCATGCATCTTGACCCAAGAACCTTCTAATGGCATCAAGCTTATGAGAAATCGTGGGAAGGAGTTTGGCCAACCTAGGAAGAATATATAGAAGAAATTAAAAATGGTTTCGGACTTATTCATGAGACCCTGATGAGCGATTTAGCTCATCTGAAGAAACAAGGAGCTCTAGCCGAGTATCACGATGAGTTTGATATGATTGTGTGTAAGCTGCGACTGCCTGAGTATTTGGTGGACATGTATCTCTCGGGTCTTCGAGAGGAATATGAAGGTCCAGTTTTCCTTTTCAATCCTCAGACCCTGAAAGAGGCTCGAAAGCTAGTGAGAATGCAAGAAATCATATTTCAGAGACAAACTGAGAAGAAAAGCCAGAATAAAAGGGGAGGATATGTGGCACCCTTAGTTTCGGCCACCCAACCCGCAGCACCAGCCACACAACCCTTCCAGTCAAATGCGTGGGCTCCCTATAAAAAAGCACTAATGGGCAGTGGGTCCCATACTAAAGGAAAGACACCCTCTTTACCTCAAAAAAGTGTCTCAATTACTCAAAAATTGGTCGATAATGCCGCTAAAATTCTTTCTGTGGACGAAGAAGCTGAGCACAGAAGAAAAAAATTGTACTTCTATTGTCATGAAAAATTTTCATGGGATCATAGATGCCCACAAAGGCATAGATTACAGCTTTATTTTATTGAGGTTAATGATGTCCCGGAAGAAGCTACTCCGTCTGAAGAAGACGGTGAGGTTGAAGGGGAAGAAACTCAACGTTTTATCTCACTACATGCTATGGAAGAAGTTGATAATAGTTCTTCAATGAGGCTCATAGGGTATTTTGGCAAGAGACAGCTTCATATTCTAATTGACAGTGGCAGCACCCATGACTTTTTGGACTTTAATGTGGCAAAAAGACTTGGGTGGCAATCTGATGGAATGCAGGAAGAATGGATAGAAGTGGCTGGAGGAAGAAGACTGAAAGTGCATGGAATTTGGGAGGGGTTCAAATGGAGAATGCAGGGTTTAGAATTTTCTTGTGATTTTAGAATTCTTGAATTACATACCTATGATTTAATACTTTGGCTGAAATGGCTCAAAAGTGTTAAAAATGCTTTCTAGGATTATGAGTCTCTAACTATGTTTTTTTGGCTTGAAGGTAAAATGTGTAAGCTTCAAGCTATGCCTTCCAATACCCTATGAGTAGTGCAACCAAAGAGAGTGGAAATTAAGGATTTTTCCACTAACCAAGTATTTTTGCTGCAATTAATACCAAAGGGGCTTGAGAAGGTGGAAATCTTCTCAGTGCAGACCTGTACAGAAATTCCATAGGAGATTAATTCTACATTGCAAGTGTTTCCTGACCTCTTTGAAGCACCCAAGGGATTACCACCATTTCATGAGGGGCATGATCACCCTATTGTCCTTTAAGAAGGCACCAATCCTATAAACTTAAAGCCCTACAGATATCCCTCCACCCAAAAAGATATTATTGAAGGATTAGTCAGGGAATTACTACACACTGGGGTAATACAAGAGAGTTCCAGCTCATTTTCTGCTCCAATTGTTTTAGTCAAAAAGAAGGATGGTACTTGGAGGATGTGTATAGATTATAGGGAATTGAATAAAAAGACAGTGAAAAACCAATACCCTATTCCCTTAGTGGAAGACCTCTTTGATGAGTTAAGTGTTACAAAATGGTTTACAAAATTAGACTTGATGGCTGGTTATCATCAAATCCGAATGGTGCCTCAAGATGTTTCAAAGACTGCTTTTAAGACACATAGTGGGCATTATGAATGGTTAGTTATGCCATTTGGTCTAACTAATGCACCAACAACTTTTCAAGCGGCTATGAATAGTATATTCCATCCTTATTTGAGGAAGTTTGTGTTAGTTTTTTTTGATGATATATTAATCTATAGCTCTAATCTCCCTGATCATGTGCAGCACCTCAAGGAAGTGTTTTCTATTTTAAGACAGCATCAGTTTTTTTATTAAAAAGAGCAAATGTTGTTTTGCAGCAAGTGAAGTTGAGTATTTGGGTCATTTAATTGGTGGTGGGCAAGTCCGGATAGATCCCAAGAAGGTTCAAGCAGTGGCTGAATGGCCTGAACCCACAAATATTAAGCAAGTAAGGGCTTTCTTGGGGCTGGCTGGATACAATAGAAGGTTTGTCAAGGGCTATGGGATTTTAGCTAAGCCACTAACTCTTCTTCTTAAAAAGAATGGATTTGAGTGGTCAAAGGTAGCTGCTGCAGCTTTTACTAAACTCAAAGAAGTCCTTATTTCTGCTCCGATACTCACCCTTCCAGATTTCTCAAAACAATTTGTAGTTGAAATTGATGCGTGAGGGGCTGTTCTAATGCAATCAGGTCAACCAATTGCATATTTTAGCAAGGGTTTGGCTAAAAGGCATCAAAAACTCTCGATATGTCAAAAGGAATTGATGGTTGTGGTCTTGGTTGTGCTTCATTGGCATCAATATTTAGAAAGGAAAAAATTTAAAATAAGGTCAGATCAGCAAAGCCTAAAATATCTGCTTGGGAAGAAGTTGAAGACCAGTTTTCAGATGTTTTGGGTTGCTAAATTAGCTGGTTTTGACTATGAGATTCAGTACAAAAAGGGTAATGAAAATTCTGTTGCAGATCCTCTCTCAAGAATACCGAAACAGCAAATTATGCAGATGATTTTAGACACATCATCACCAGAGTTGCTTGAGAAAATCAAGGGAAGTTGGGACGTAGATGCTGTTATTTCAGAAATCTGGAAGAAAACTCAAGAAAATGAGGGAGTGTGGGGTCATTTTTCTTGAGATGGGAGCTCATTAAGAAGAAAAGGGAAGCTGGTGATAGGTTCTGATCCTCATTTGAGGCAGCAAATATTAGACCGGCTCCATGCCAGCCCACAAGTTAGTCATTCAGGAATCCAGGCTACATATCAGAGGGTTAAGGCCTTATTTTGGTGGAAAAAAATGATAATTGACATTTCTGATTTCATTAAACAGTGTGATACATGTGCTAGGTGTAAATATGACTGTTGCTGCCCCTGGACTATTACAGCCTTTGCCTATTCCTAGCAAGGTATGGTAGAGTATCACTATGGATTTTATTGAAGGACTCCCTAAATCCCTTGGTAAAGACACTATTTGGATAGTAATTGACCGTATGAGAAAGTATGCACACTTTTTACCACTCACCCATCCCTTTTCAGCTTCTATTTTAGCTTAAATTTTTATGGATCAGGTTTATAAATTACATGGGCCACCATCTGAAATTATTAGTGACCGTGACCTTTTATTTGTTAGTGGCTTTTGGAAAGAGTTTTTGCAGGTTTTGGGGGTAAAGCAACTTCTTTCCACTGCTTATCACCCTCAAATGGATGGGCAGTCCAAAGTGCTTAATCGTTGTTTGGAAACTTACCTTTGGTGTATGTGTTGGGAACAGCCCAAGCAGTGGAGTGAGTGGTTGTCTCATGCAGAGTGGTGGTATAATACCACTTTTCACACAGCAACTAAGGCTGCTCCCTATGAACTTCTATATGGTCAGAAACCTCCTCTCCATTCTCCTTATTTACCTCATAATAGTGTGCTAGATGCTGTGGACAGGTCATTTACAGCAAGAGAAGAGATGATAGCTGTTCTCAAACATCATCTTTATCGCACTGCGAATATGATGAAGTAAAGGGCAGATTCACACAGATCTGATCGGGAATTTACAATGGGACAATGGGTTTTCTTAAAGTTACAACCCTATAGACAACTTTCTGCAGTTTCTAGGATTAACCAAAAATTGGCTCCTAGATATTTTGGTCCTTACAAAGTGATTCAAAGAATTGGAGCAGTGGTGTACAAGTTAGAACTACCACCTGATTCTAGAATACATGCAACCTTTCATATATACCTATTGAAGCTATGTCCTGATCCTAAAGTCAAGCAGAGGCATCCAGCTCTTGACTGGCCTGAAATACCTCCAGTTTTAGAACCTGAATGCATTTTGCAGGAAAGAGTTGGCCAGAAAAAAGAGGAGGATAATGACTGAAATTTTGGTCAAGTGAAAGCAATTACCAGAGGAAGAAGCATCCTGGACAGCTTTGCATCAGTTTCAGCAGCAATTTCCTCAATTTGTTATTACTGATCCTTGAGGGCAAGGATCTCTTTGAGGGGGGTATTGTTATAAATTTGTAATTAGGATATAATTGGTTAGTTAGTTAATACAGCCGTTGGGAAGAGTGTTGGGAAGGGACGTCTATATATTGGCTGAAATTGTAGTTTGATGTTTTATGAAAGAAGACGTATTATTCAGTGACACCGCTACTTCTCAATTTCTTTCAACTTCTTCTCTTTAATCTCTCATTCTTCTCTGCTCTCTCTACCTTCCTGTTCTTCTCTCATGCTTTTCCGCTCTCTCTCAATTTTCTATCATTCCAAATTATTCCTACCTACCACCAGTTCACTCCACATTATCTTATGCATTGTTTAATGGGTTACGTGGGAGGTCAATGAACTAGGGAGAGAGTTATGGGGAATGAGGTACAGGAACCAAGAGCGGATACTTGTCAAACCTAGACATATCAAGATCAGCTAATCTTAAAGATTGAGTTTGGTGCAAGATATGCTCTTAGATCATTTGCTATATTTCTAGGCTTTAATAGAGAATTTAAGTTTTCACTATCAAGGTTAATGTATGATTCTTTGGAACCAAGAGTACTTTTGTGAGTCTGCAATTTATCTTCCATAACTTATTTCCAAAGGGATGCAACTTTGATAAATGGAACTGGCAATTGGTCCATAATTGACATGCATCCATTTCAACATGTGCATGGTATAGCTGATAGAGAATGAAGGGCAAGATGTTCTATAATTTTTTGATTTGTTAACATGTAGAAAAGTCTACATGTATGATATCGAACTGTATACTTATTTTCATTTTACTTATTTTAAGATTGGGGAACTTAAAAAGCTTGTTGAGGAGGGAAAAATAAAACATATTGGCTTGTCTGAGGCCTCGGCTTCAACAATCAGAAGAGCACATGCTGTTCATCCTATAACGGCTGTGCAGTTGGAGTGGTCCTTATGGGCAAGAGATGTGGAGGAAGAAATAATTCCAACTTGCAGGTGATGTTTGAACTACGGATGTTGCTAATTATAATATCTATCTTTTCTATCTATTGGGGCTTTTGATAAAAAATTAGGGTATAGCTTTGCAACCTCTTATTTTGCATTTGTGAAATTCTCAGGGAACTTGGCATTGGAATTGTAGCTTATAGTCCTCTTGGACGAGGATTCTTTTCATTAGGAGCAAAGGTTGTTGAAAGCTTTTCAGAGAATGACTTTCGGAAGGTTTGTGTTAACTCTAATATGCAATATGCACTTTGGTTTCATTTGTCATAATAAACTAGCTTAGCTCCTAATGGTATTGTTTCCAGGCCCTTCAATGTGAAAGTTAGTAAAGTCTTCTCTTTTCTAACCTTTTTATGTCTTTCGAAATTTCACTTGTAGTTTTACCATTCAAGATTAAATTGCTGTAGAATGTTGTTGAATTAGTTGATGATCTTTCTTATGGATTTTATAATCATATTTGTGTAATAAAACAATGCATGAACTGGATAAATTGTGAAGATAATAAAACGATTGTTGTTCAATTGCTCAGCTTATACATTGAAAATTGAAGTCTGAACGCTGATAAAGATTGCATGACTAAACCCTGACGGAAGAGAGATTGACTGAAAATGTAAGATGGCTTGGCAGAAGGTTATCTTGATACAACTTTATTTGGATTTCTTCCTTCATTGGTTGATCAATAAAACAAGCTTGTCTCCATCCCTCTTAGTTTATGCCTTGGAGGCTTGTAGATATAATGTAAGTCCTATCAACAGGGTACTGCACGTTTCCTTGATATATAAACTTATGGGAGAATAGAATTATATGGCTAGAGCCTTTCTTCTATACTGTCCTTACTTCTCTTACTAATATATAAGTTCAATCTCGTATATGGGTAAAAAGGACTGGATTATAAATAATCCTTGTATGCCTTTTCTTTTCTATATTTGATGGGCTACATGTTTTCAAATCCAATCTCTGCATACTGGGTTATTCCTATGTGCCATTTTTGTTGCTGACTAGGTTATTCTTCATAGGAGTTGAGGTGGGAATTTGATGAATATTAGTGTCATGTTTGCATAGATAAAAGTTATTTTGATATCAAAACTCTTATCAATTTCAAATCTAGAATAAAGTTTACCATTTGAACATTGTCTTTTCAAATTTATAATTTAGAAGTAGACATGCTCTTGACTCGATTACATGTTGGCAGCACACATTAAACTTATACCACTTGACTTAACGTTAAAGTTGATAATTACTAATGAAATTTGAGATAACTATACTGAGTCACTTGACTTGACACTAAAGCATCATTATTATTGCTTTGAAACGTTAAAGACTTAAAGTCATGAACTTTGGAGGGTATTCAAGTTTATAAGTAATGTAACTTTCTGCATAAATAACCTTTAAGGTAGTAGAATATCTTTTATTTATTCTTTTTTTTTTTTTTATGATACAAGCCGGTGACAAAGTATAGTTTGAACAATTTAACAATTATAGTATGTAATTTAAATATTTGTGATGAGGGAGAACTGTTGGTATGTGCTTGAGCTTTCACTAATTATTAAGAAATCCCTCCTAAATCTTTTTCCCTCTTAACTATTTTTGGTGTGAAAGGGTGAAATAAAATTGTAAAATATGGAGATTAATTCTAGTAAATGAAAAATAGAAGTATTAAGCTGCTTAAAAATTTACTGTCTTTTGTTTCTTTCCTCATTGTCAAAGCATAATTGTGTTATGCAATCTATGTAACCGATCTCACCTAGTGGGATAAGGCATTGTTGTTGTTTCTTTCCCCACTGTCAACATGTGAGATGATGAATGTGCACAGCAAATGATACGTATTTTAGTTCTAATCTCTGGTTATTAGCATATGTTCGTCATAGACAGACAAGACGTGTGTAATTAAGAGAATATATATGATGCCAATTTACTCACTTCATATCTATCTTGTAATATCTTGCACATTTGTGTCTGTGAGGCATTGTATGCAACATATAAAAACAGAAAATCAGATTAAAAAATGTAAAATGCATTTATATGTAAGATATGCAATCTCATGACATGCTGTGACAGGCTTATTTATGCCTTGACTGTTGCAGCATCCTTCTCAAGGTTGACATATAAAATTTGTCATACCTGACACTTTGCTTCAATGTAAATGATGGATACAATTCCATATCCATGCTTGAAACATCCGTTGTTGATAGATTGACATCAAGATATAATCTGCTTCATGTATGTATTGTACGTCGTTTCAGCGTTTGCCTAGATTCTATCCCGAAAACATGGAGCACAACAAGATTATATTTGAGAGGGTTAATGAAATGGCTACAAGGAAGGGATGCACTCCGTCTCAACTAGCATTGGCCTGGGTTCATCATCAGGGAAATGATGTGTGCCCTATACCAGGAACCACCAAAATTGAGAACTTGAACCAAAACATTGGGGCTTTGTCAGTTAAGCTTACCCCAGAAGAAATGGCAGAACTTGAGTCGTTTGTTGCTGCTGATGCAGTCAAGGGTGAAAGATCTGGTCCTGGGATAGCTACATGGAAGGAAGGTGACACTCCTCCTCTTTCTTCTTGGAAAGCTGCTTAAAAAGTTCATTCCTTGTGTTTTGTATATTCAGTACTCGTTGCTATCTTAAGCAAACTGACCAGTACAAGAGGGTATCCTTGCCTCAATGGAGTTGTTATATACTTATATTTGTCCTTCTAGGAGATTTGCTTATGCATGCATGTTTGTCTAAACAAGCCACGACATTGAGCTGCTCGAAAACATGTCTTCTGACTCCCATTTTCCCCCTTGGCAAATTAGCTTGTTTAATATGTCTTGCATTGAATTGAACATGTTGATCTGTTATCTATGAGCACTGTTCAGGGTGACTGTTGTGTCCCCAAAATTAAGAGAGATGTTGTTAAATGGGAAATTGGCAAAAAGGATTCACTGAATTGGCTGGATATTAGACGGGAGTTTATAATGGTGAGGGAGAAACCTGTAGATGCCAGAGAACGAAGTTATCGCAGATGATTGGTTAGGCTAGTAAAAATAAATAGTCTCTCAAGAGCTTATCATGGTCAGGGCGTGTTTTTAGGCTTAAAATTGCTTTTATCATCAATGATATTCATTTTATCAAAATTCATAAATTCATTCACCCCATTATTATACTCTTTACTTGTTCATTTAGCATTAATCCAATTACAATCTATAGTCTACTTCTTAAAATGGAATTAAGTTAAAGAATTATTGCTAATTTTCAATTGAAGTTAGAAATTTTCAATTCTTTGAAAAATTAACTTTTTTTAAGAGTCAAAATTAACTTTTTTAAAGGCAAGTTGTTAAGTTAAAATAATGAACTTAAAGAATAACCTGAAATAAGAAAATTAATATCGATTAATTTTCTTACTCCTATTAAAAAATTAATATCAATTAAGCATTTAAAATAATAGTTTATCAAAATTTTATTTTGGCTCTTTATAAGAATAAGAAATAACATTTGTATCATATTATATATATAATTCAAAGAACTTAATTGTTATCAATTTTTTTAGGTAATGTAATTTTATGGGTTTTTTTTTGTAATTTTTGAAATTATTTCATATAATTTTTAAATCAATTAAGTTAAAGTTAACTTTTTTTAAATTTTAAAGTGTTGGATGGATTATTTTCAAATGGTAAAAAAAAAATTATACCATTTGAAATTTTTGGATGATCAATACTATGAGCAAATAATTAAAAGGGAAAAATGTCCTTAACCCTGTCAAAAACAGACCGTTTAATTCCCTACAAAGGAGGGAAGGACACGCCAGACTGTCAGCGGCACTACAAGATCGAGCGCGAGCACTTTCCATACTTCAGCGCTCCTGGGAATTGCATTGATAAGGATCACGTGCTCTAATTCTAACTCCCTATTTTAATCTTATTTGATCTTTATTATTTATTTAAATTAATTTTTAAATATTTTTAATATTAAATTTATTAATATAAAAATATGTAAAAGTATAAAAAATTTTAAATTTTTAATATAATTATTTATTATCAATTTGATCAGTGCAAATTTAATCTAACAATCTAATTTAATATTAAAAAAATTTTTAATTTTATAATTTAACTATGCAATATCAGTCTAGTTTAATATTAAACAAATTATAATTTTATAATTTAATTATACAGATGAATTTTATATAGTTCATATATACTTTAAATAACTTAATTTAATATTAAAAAATTATAAATTTTATAAATTAATTATTTAAATGTACTATAAATAATTTTAGATTTAATATTAAAATTTTTTATATTTTTTATTTTAATTAATATAATATTTAAAATATTTAAAAATTAATTTAAACGAATAAGATTGAAATGGAGTGATGAGCACCAAATGCGAACGCAGTGTTACTGCGTACTACTTTATAGCGTACTCACAGTGGAAGCTCTTCTCAGTTCTCAGAAATGGCGAAAGTGGGTAGGATCAAGCTAGGTTCACAAGGCTTGGAGGTATCGGCCCAGGGACTTGGTTGCATGAGCATGTCTTCTGGCTATGGCACTCCTAAACCCGAACCCGACATGATCGCTCTCATCCACCACGCCATCCAGAGCGGCGTCACATTTCTCGACACCTCCGACATCTACGGCCCACACACGAATGAAATTCTTCTCGGAAAGGTATTGGTCGCTTCCAAGTCATTTTGCTGTTTGTTTCTTCTTTGCGTTTGTTCACTCTTTGGGTTTGTGACGAATTGGGTGTGAATTTTCCTGTCAGGCTCTGAAGGGAGGTGTGAGGGAGAAGGTTGAATTGGCCTCCAAATTTGGAATCATCTTTGCCAACGGCAAGGCTGATATCCGTGGCGATCCTGCGTACGTGAGAGCGGCTTGTGAAGCGAGCTTGAAGAGACTGGAGATCGATTGCATTGATCTCTATTACCAGCATCGTGTTGATATTCGTGTGCCTATTGAAGCCACGGTCCGTCTTTTATCTGCTTTGGATGATCTTTTTTCCGGGTAAATTATAGTTTATCTATGTGGTTCGTGTTTGATGTGAAATCAATTTCACCTTGTGTTTTCACAAGAATTGATACAAGATAGATAGGCCGTTGAATGATATACCTTTCATACATCCTGTATGTAAATCTTAACCAAAATTAGCCATGCAAGTCACTGGTATATGTCTTTTTCACTTACAATTTGAATTTTATCTTGTTTGAATGGAGTTAACCTTGTAATAGTCATAAAAGACCATGAAAATGTTTTTACACACAAACTGAAATGAGATCTCTTAAACCAGGAGAGGCATATAGGTTTGGACCAAAAAAGCAAGGGTTAATCACTTAATTTGTCCGTATATAATACTATGCGATATAATATGCAGAAAAGGTGGAATTGCAGAAGATTGAGAACAATCGTTCTTGGTTCTAGCCCTTCAATTATTTATTATTTATACAGAATCTTATAGAATGCTGGAGCATGGTGTTTCTGATATGTTTTCTCATAAGATTTCCACCGTCTTGAACTGAAAAACTATGGAGGACTTTTTCAGGATTTGGGAACACTTTTAACATTTTGTAGCCTCAGTTTTTCACTAGTATTTTTGGATCTTTTAAATATCTTAAGTCTTGAATCAATATTCTAGGCATTCCTCGTGCTTAGAGCTAAAAGTTTTTCTTCACCTGACCTGATTTCTGAAGGCCAAGTGAATTATTTGGTACTAAAAGTTGCTTGTTTCGAGGAATTTATCATAAGTTTCTGAAGTAATTTCTTGTCCCCGCAAGTTATAAAATGTATGCTGCATGATCATATGGTGGTATCTTAGGCTTTATAAAAATGAAACATTGTATTCAATTTTATTAAATCGCCATTTTGGCTTTGCTAGATGGACTAAAAGGCTAAGTAGCATTTTTCTTTTCATAATGACTTGTGAAATCAAGAAATCTTTTCTTCTTCCTACCATCCATTTGTACGTTTTCTGTGTTCAAGAATTGACCAGTTCACTCCACATTATCTTATTCATTACTTTTTGGGTTACGTGGGAGGTCAATGAACTAGAGAGAGACTTATCGGGAATGGGGAATGGGAACCAGGAACCAGGAACGGATACTTGTCAAACTTAGACATATCAAGATCAACTAGTCTTAAAGATTGAGTTTGCTGCAAGATATGCTCTTAGATCATTTGCTATCTTTCTAGGCTTTAATATACAGAATTTAAGTTTTCAATATGAAGGTTAATCTGTCATTTTTGCAACTAAGAGTACTTCTGTGAATCTGCAATTTATCTTTCATAACCCATTTCCAAAGAGATGTGACTTGCATAAATGGAACTAGCAATTGGTCCATAATTACATGCATCCATTTCAACCTATGCATGGTATAGCTGATAGTGAATGAAGGGCAGGATGTTCTATAACTTTTTGATTTGTTAACAAGTATAAAAATCTACATGTATGATGTCAAACTGTATACTTATTTTCGTATTATTTATTTTAAGATTGGGGAACTTAAAAAGCTTGTTGAGGAGGGAAAAATAAAATATATTGGCTTGTCTGAGGCCTCAGCTTCAACAATCAGAAGAGCACATGCTGTTCATCCTATAACGGCTGTGCAGTTGGAGTGGTCCTTATGGGCAAGAGATGTGGAGGAAGAAATAATTCCAACTTGCAGGTGAGGTTTGAGCTATGGAAGTTGCTAATTATAATATCTATGTTTTCTCTCTATTGGGGCTTTTGATAAAAAATTAGGGTATAGCCAACATCTTATTCTGCATTTGTGAAATTCTCAGGGAACTTGGCATTGGAATTGTAGCTTATAGTCCTCTTGGACAAGGATTCTTTTCATTAGGAGCAAAGGTTTTTGAAAGCTTCTCAGAGAATGACTTTCGGAAGGTTTGTGTTTATTCTAATGTGCATTGTGCACTTTGGTTTCATTTGTCATAATAAACTAGCTTAGCCCCTAATGGTATTGTTTCAAGGCCCTTCAATGTGAAAGTTAGTAAAGTCTTCTCTTTTCTAACCTTTTTATGTCTTTCGAAATTTCACTTGTAGTTTTACCATTCAAGATTAAATTGCTGTAGAATGTTGTTGGATTTGTTCATGATCTTTCTTGTGGATTTTATAGTCATATTTGCATAATAAAACAATGCATGAACTGGATAAATTGTGAAGATAATAACACAATTGTTGTTCAAGTGCTCAGCTCTCTTGACAAATCTTGAGTGATGTCAAGATTTTTTAAAAGAAAAACACCATTAAATTGCTTGGCTATTTTGTTTATTTCAAGTCTTTGTCCTTTCTTTTCCCTCTTAATTAGCTTATGCATTGAAAATTGAAGTCTGAACGCTGAGCAGAGATTACATGACTATACCCTGACAGAAGAGACATTGACTGAAAATGTAAGATGGCTTGAGAGAAGGTTTTCTTGATACAACTTTATTTGAATTTCTTCTGTCATGGGTTGATCAATAAAACAAGCTTGTCTCAATCCATCTTAGTTTATGCCTCAGAGGTTGTAGATATAATGTAAGTTCTATTAACAGGGCACTGGACGTTTCCTTGATATATAAACTTATGGGAGAATAGAAGTATATGGTTAGAGCCTTTCTTCTATACTGTCCTTACTCCTTTGTCCTCTTACTAATATATAAGTTCAATCTCATGCGTATGGGTAAAAAGGACTGGATTATAACGCATCCTTGCATACCTTTTCTTTTCTATGTTTGATGGGCTGTATGTTTTCAAATCCAGTCTCTGCATACTGGCATATTCCTATGCACCATTTTTGTTG